TATTGAATTTTTTAATCCACAAAATCTGCATAGGATTTATTTTTATATTTTCTTTATATTGTCTTCCTAAGTTGAAGTATTGTTTGCCAGCATTTTTATTCAAAGATTTATTAGTCTTAAAAAAACTGTCGTTTTTGATAAAGTTCGTAATTTTAATATTTTAATGATGATGGTTATGATGATGACTATGATGATGTCTAAGATGGTGTCTAACTTTCATCAGAGTAATTCCTAATTTATTTTTTCCTGTTCCATCTCCTCCATCAGCCCAATAAGAATCATTTTCTGTATGTTCAACTAAAGTACGATGACCGGTTGATAATAATATTTCTTTCAGTTTTGGATATTGTTGAAATTTTGCTAAACATGCTTTAAACATAATATCATCTTTTACATCATTCCAATCGGAACGTTTTAATGAATCATGAGCTCGAGCATAATCAAATGCTTCTCGAGGAGCAGCTAATTCTAAAATATGTCTATATTGCTTTTTATGTGAAACAAATTTTTGTGCTTGAAAATATTGTTCAGTTGTTGGCCAGATGAGTCCATCTAATTGAAATGGAGCCGGATAAAAATTACCAAATTCACCATATGGTGCATCAAGATCATAGAAATAAATAGGGTGATTCGTCATATTCTTTGTATTATTAAAATGGTGTGTTTTATAATATATAAAGCTTCGTTTCTTCTGTCACGTGTTGTAAATATATACAAAAACAATATTCGAACGCTTTTTTATATATAAAGGTATAGTGGAAAAAGAAAGAAAGAATAATATCTGATTTGACTGGCTCGTATCGTTAAATGTATTTAGTCGTCTTTACGCCCAGGCCGTAAAAATCGTTAAAAAATCGTCGCTTAATTGCGATTAATCAGTATTTTTATTAGAAGCTAATTGGCTACATCTAGGATTTTTGATTACATTTTACTCTCTTTCTCGTAGAGAAGAGTCCAGTAAACATAAATTGCCTGATTGTTTGCTTGCTTGCTTGTGTGTCCGAGGGTCAAAAAAACATCGAAAATCAATTTTTTACGGTTTTCATTTGCTGTTCCAGTAAATGTGAAGAAAATGGATTTTTACGAGAAAGAGCTAAGCGTGTCCTCGGACGAGCGTTACTTGTTTGAAAATAATGAACTATTTATATCATCTGCTACAATAGAACTAATCATGAAAATTGTAAAAAAAAATTATATATACCCCCATATGATGGAAAATTTGAGTTTGCGAAAAATTCAGTTTCTTTAAAAACAAATAAATTTGCGACAAAATCGCTCTGGATGATGAATTGTAAGGGTGCATGAAAAATTCTTTTTTACGGATTTTTAGCAAAAATAAATTTTTCGTAAACCCTTTGAATTCATCAACCAGAGCGATTTTAACGTAAATTGATTTGTTTTTAAAGAAACATTAATATTTGTTATTAAAAAATGAACGCGTTCTAATTTAAGGTAATAAATATCAAACTCTCAAATCAGACTTCCTTCGCTTGTATTTATTCTCGTTTAGTCTGCATGATATACGGTGGCTGAAAATTGAGAAAATATTTTCCCCACTATCTGCGAGATTCAAAATGAATGAAATTGGTCACCAGAACTGTGTGAATTATTTAATTCTGCACAAATGTGGGCATGATGTAATTAGTTATCTAAGATATTAGAATTTATGGCAAAAGATAGACATCCCTACATAAACAGAAAAAATGAGACTTCATGCCGGCTGGCCATACTTATATAAGGTAAATCTTAACATTATCTTTTTATGCAATAAAAACTTTAATATTCATTTAGTGAAATCTTTCAGACCCATGTACGTTCATATTTATCATAGAGGTAAAAAAATAAATATATTTTACATCATACACACTTGTCTCAATGCCTTTTCAAATTCTCATTTCCTTCTGAGAAAATGAGTTTCAGATAATTATCTTTTTCTAATAAACATTATAATAGTCAGTACTTCCTCTCGTTTCGTTAGAGATTCATAATATGCAATTTTGTTTTACTTATTAATTCACATTAACCAATCATAAAATAGCATTATACACTCTATAAATGTTCGACGATATAATAAAAAACGTCGTTTCTTTTTTTTTTTCTTCTTCGAACTTTATTTCAACCCTCGTTCTTTCTATCTTTGCTCGTTTCTATTAAAAATTCTGAGAGCAACTATAATTGTGTTCATTTCAAGACACGTATGTATTCCATGAAGAAATATAGAAAGAATATGATTCATAAAGAAGATAATATTCACACTCTCACCGACACGTAGACCCACACCCTTGTTGCAAAATCATAGATCTGTCTGTTTCGACATTACAAAGTTAGTTTTTTCTTATTTGATTTGAGTGAGTTATGTGTCTGATCAAATGCAAATTAGTTCAAACATTTATTGTATAGAAATAAAAGCTTCTTTTTTAAACTTGAACTAACTAAACTGTTGTACAGCAAAGCATAGACAATAGATATAAGCTAATATTAATGGATGTAGATTTTACACAATAATAAATATAATATGAATGTTTTATTTATTCGTTAGATAATCTAGATGGCCTATCTTTATCTATTATGCATGTGTTATTTTATTTGGACTCCAAGTGCAAATGCATCACTTTCGACAATAGGCAATGTCTACTATAACATGAGCTATAATTCAACTGACACCATAATCACTCGTCTGACCGTAAAATATCAAATAACTTGTGCTGCTCAATGTGCAAATCTGTTTGCCAATTGTAGTACTGCTGTATTTGATAGTTTAACTACTCCTCAATGTTCGCTATATAGCGGGAAAGTTACACCAGAGAATCTTACCGTCTCGATGAATACAATAGTTTATGATTTTCAGCAGAGCAAATTAACAGGTAGGAAGCTTATTAACTTTGCTCCTCGTCTACTTTGTATTTCTTTTTCGTTTATAAATAAGTTTTATATCGTTACAGAGATGAGCATCATTATTAATTTCATTAGGAATTGCCATATATTACCAGAATTTTCTGCAGATTACTATTATTTCCAAAGACCTATAGTGCTGACAGTAAAAAAAGAAACATAGACATATACAATCTCTTCATCAAGATAACTCTCATAGTTTATAGGAGATTCTGAAAGATAGTAGTGAACTTTAATGGATGATACAAATAAATCTACTCTATAAAATATGAAAGAAGATATACATCCATCGATTTTGTAACTAGCAGTGAGGTGTACCATGTATGCTATAGATTTCATTTGCTTTTATAGCTACTCCGATCTTACATGGTTGGAATACAACGGGCATCACTGCAGCTGGTGCGAGTGATGGTTCTGGAGGCACAGCAGATAATCTGTTCTCTCAACCATATGGGATCGCATTGGGTTCATTCGACTCACTTTATATTGCCGATTTTAGCAACAATCGCATACAAAAATGGTTAATCAATGCATCGAATGGTACAACGATGGCTGGTCTGTTCAATGGCACTGCTGGTGCAAGCTCAATTGCTTTGAACTTGCCTGCCAGTGTTGTGCTTGATTCTAATGATAATATGTATTTTACAGATAGAGATAACCATCGAGTCGTATATTGGGCAAATGGTGCATCATCTGGCACTACGATTGCTGGTATTCTAGGTATGACAAATAGAACAAAAGATTTTTAAACTATTAATTCTCGTTTTCTGATTGAAATATTTATTTAATATATTTTTCTGATCTATTAATTGAAAATTGCATGTTATTGATTACTAAAATAACAGATCAGTGAGAGCTTAAGAAATTCAAATAAATAATGAACATTCTTAGTATATTCTTATGAAGATTGAGCTTAGAACGACTAACAAAATATAAGAAAAAAATCATTCTATACAATTCTAATTTAGGTGTTCCGGGATCTACGAACAATACCTTCTATGGCCCGTGTGGTATAGCCCGTGACTCAAGCACAGGTACACTTTACATAGCCGATTCATTCAATCATCGAATAATGCAATATCTTTTGAATGCTTCGTCGGGTACAGTAGTTGCTGGTGGAAATGGTGCAGGACCTGGTACTACACAATTGGCGTATCCATATGGTCTTACTTTTGATTCGTCCACAAATAGTCTTTTAATTGCTAATGCTCAAACCAACAATATTGTTCGTTGGGTGTTAGGTGCAAGTAGCTGGACACTCGTCATTGGCAGTCCTACTGGATTAAGTGGTAACACATCGACACTTCTCAATCAACCGATCGGCATCACATTAGATCCAATGGGCAATATCTATGTAGCTGATTCGGGAAACCATCGCATTCAATTCTTTTTTGCAGGCCAGTTCAACGGCATAACCATTGCTGGCGTCACAGGTTCACCTGGCATTAGTCAGAGTCAATTGTTTTCTCCCTATTGGGTAATAGTTGATAATCAACTGAATTTATATGTATCCGATACTTTTAACAACCGAGTTCAGTTTTTTTCACATTATTTAATATGAGTTTTATTTTTTATTACATATAACTCTAAATTTCAAATATACCTTTTATTCTTTAATTATTCTTGCCTAACTTCAATACTTCATATGTGCCACTTCTTTGTCATTTCAAATAAATTTTAAATCTTTTATTATAATCAAATAAATATATTTTAATGATGAATCTAATACAATCGTTCACTCTTTTTTCATATATCTTATTTTCTAACTTGATACTTGCTTTACTCAATATTGGAGACAATGAAATAAAAGAAGCCTAAAATATATTGACTTGTGTAATAGTCGGTAAGGTGAACATTAAAGAATAATTCACAAACTTTCGTAAGAAAACGATCAATGAAACGCCTTTGACAATGATAATTTGTATAAATAATTTCATTTTATAGATACAACACAACGTTAAATAATTATAGTTTCAATCGTTTTTTAACAAAAGTTTTATTGCCTCATGTCAAAAAATATTTCTCAAAGAAAAATCAATTAAACTATATATAGTCATCATGACTATAATATGTGCAAACTACAATCAAACAATTCCTACTTCGATGATACTTTCTTTCACAAGCCTTTAAACTTTAATTAGTAAGCACAACAAAACAAAATGATTATAGCATGAATACTACATACCAATTCACAATTTAATTGTACAATAATTAAAAACAATCGAGAAGCTGTAAATTTATGTTGAGAAAATAAAAGTATTCATATGCTCAGACTGACACACTATTCTTGTAAACTATGGTGTGGGTGTGGGTAAGCGTGTGGGTATTATATATTGATATTGCATCCCCACCCACACCCACACTTCTTTTAAACATATGTGACTGTTGCACGCGTGAAATTCCCAAGAAAAGCAACTCCAGTCTCCAATAATTCTAACATAGCACAAATCAATCAGTAAAATTTTGTTTCTAAGAAAAGTATCACATATAGTTTGATCTTCTCTCAAATCATTATGATTAAAACTTCTCTTCATTTCCTTTTGATAAAAAATTAAAGAGAAGTTATATCATGATAAGACGACATATATTTTGTAGAGTTCTCTTATTTACTTTTATTTTGATGTTCTTAATTTTTTGTTTTACTTCTTTGATATATTATCTTTTATTCTATTGCTTATTTGTGAATATCGTGGGCGTGGGTAGAATAAAGACAATATTCCCACATCCACACCCTCATATTGGAGAGATCTAGAGAATATTAACGGTAATAAGAGAAGACAGAAAATAAAGGTAATGTCAATGAGTTATTTGAGATAGTCTTTTAAACATTTTGTCTGCTATTTTATCCCAAGTATAATATTCTGCATGTTTTCGGCATATTTGAGATTTGTTTCTAAGTTCTATTCGATCAGTAAATGCTCGATACATATTTTGTGACAATGATTGAATGTTCGGTTCTGCCCACATTGCTTGCATTTTAGTTTTTAATCCAAATACTTTCATCTTCCCGCAAGGATTTGTAAAACATTCAGTGACTTTTGCATCAATATAATAAGCACATTCTTCTGGACAAAAATCTAACGAAGGACCATATTTTGTAACAATTGGCGGTACTCCTGCAGCCATAGCTTCAAGTGTTGATAATCCAAAACCTTCACTCCTATATGGAGCAACATAAACATGAACACTTTTGAATAATCGAATCATATCTATATCATTTATAGGATAAC